CTTTTTCTATAGGGATTTCTTCAATGCTTTAGAACAGTCTCAAGTTCAACAGTTCACAGATTTTTATTTAAAAAAACAAAACAAAACAAAAAACAGTATCATTCTTTTGCCCAGGCTGGAGTGCGTGATCTTGGTTCACCTGCAACCTCCACCTCCTATGTTCAAGTGATTCTTCTGCTTCAGCCTCCCAAGTACTTGGGATTACAGGCACGTGCCACCATGCCTGGCTAATTTTTCGTATTTTTGGTAGAAACAGGGTTTTGCCGTGTTGCCCAGGCTGGTCTCAAACTCCTAACCTCAAGTGATCCCCCTACCTCACCCTCCCAAAATGCTGGGGTTACATGGCCACCAAGACTGGCCATGAAGTTCACAGAGTTTTGCACCTTTTCCATTTTTACAAAATTTGTGTTTCTAATGAATTTCCACTGCTACTATCTGTCAGGTACAACGAAACTTTATGCCAGGGGTTTTGCATTATCTCATATGCAGTTTGTATCATATATAGTAAAGTACAATCACATAGACTTTTAGTTCACAGTGTGGCACTAATTTGCTATTTAAAAATACATGAGTCTTTGGTGTGTGCCCTGGGGATGCTAAATATCCACTTTCTGTCTCAGTCATATGATAGAAACCAGAACAGACGCAGAATCTTTGCATCCCAAAAGATCAGGAACTCAGTTGCTGAAGGGAGAAATACCCCATGTTCCTTGGGTCTTCAAGTAATTTGCGATTACTTATTAACTTGGCCATGTTACACAGACAATATGCTTTTTAATTATCTCATTTAATCCTCGCAGTAAGAAACTAGTTTATTCCCATTTCATGTAAAATTGAGCTTCCGAATGGTCATGTCCTAGAGTCAGAGAGACTGAATGAAGGAGGCAGGCTTACAACTCAGGTGGTTGTCAGATACTTTTTGTTATCTTGCCCTCTGTGTTGTAATTTTAGTTCCGAAAGCAGTGTAGAAAGTTTCCGTTATTTTCCAAAAAGCCTCATAGTTTTATTTTGTCCCAGATTCTGGGCGAAAGGGTCATGAAGTGGAAATTTCTATCAAGCCTCCCTCTTCATTCCTCATTCTCTATTTCCATTGCTCAGCTTCACTGTTCATCTTCTAATTATTGTCTCTAAATCACTGTAGATACACAAAAAAATACATGGAAAGATAGTTTATAATCAGGACTGTGAGTTTGCTCCTTCAGTGATTCAAGCACTTGGTTGTTTGCTTAACAAACAGTTCTACCGGACAAATCTCCAAGCCTCAACCTAAAATCCTTACTCTTTTTTATAATTCTTAAAATGCTGAAAGCCGAAAAATACATTTCTATGAAATGAATAAAACTGCATATAAAATGACAGGAGTAGCATTAATGAACTAAAATTAGTTCAAGTATATAAAACTCATTTAGCACATGCGCTTGATCAAAATGAACAAAGGTATTAAGTGTACCAAGAAAAATGACTTTGTACACCACAGATCTTCAACCTGCCTCCTCAGTAATGTGTTTTCTCATTTCAGACGCCATTGCATTTGTATTCCAGCCAATTTCCATACTATAAATGTCAGTCAACATAGGCTGATTATTCCTAAGAATGATTTAAAAAGAACCTTAACAACAGTAAAAGTCATGTCCGCATTTTCATTATGCATCTGAGCCTTTGGATTGTAAATATTCCCTCTGAGCTAATATTTTAGAATTCAAGGTCATATACAGGGGATTTTTTTTCCTTGCTAATTAGAAAATAGATTACTCCACTTGAAATTATGTAGGTGGAAATTCTTCCCTGAGGAATCTGTCTCTTTCAGATGTGTTTGATCATGTTCAATATTTTTTTAAGTATATTATATTTGCTTTTCCCCTTTCACCTACCAAATATGATGCACAGAATGCTTAAGGACTTGACTTATTATTCTAACATTAGTGATAAAGCTATATTTAAAGTAATGTACTAGAAGGCTTTCACCTGCACACAGTCTTCCTTATTAGATTTGCTCCTTATTTTCCTTGTAAAATTTCACATCTAATGTCCCCCCTGTATATTTATAAAAAAAACTTTATTGCAGATGAGTCTAATCACTATGTAAATTAGGTAATTATTTGGTGAATATTAACATTCTTTCTCATAGAAAGTAATACATATATTTTGAATCTTCTTTCCTTGCTTTTGGGGGGAAATAGCAATTTAAACAGTTATTGAACTCTTATTTGCATGCAAATGAGGCAATGAAGTAGCATTTCAGGATATGCAAAAGTATGTTTAATTTTCAATTTCAAATGTATTTCTTATTAGTGAGACTACATTGTTTTCAATGCAGTTTTCTTTTGCTGTTAGAATCATGTGTCACAGAAAGCTTTCTGGTAACTACTTGTATGCAGGGGCTTTCAATTTTTCTGAGTTCTTATATATCATGACAAAATAAGTATTTTTTTAAAGAGAAAACATATTAATAATTAGCACGAAGTAGGTACTTGATATTGTATTGAATGGCTGGCTTGAAGAGGGAAGACGTTATGAGAAGATACACTGATCATAAAAATATGAACATACAGTTGTATCTGAAAGAAATTATAGATATGTCTCTGGGTGAATTATGAGAACATAAAAACCTTTCCTGTAAAGAGGAAAACTCCTGTTATTGATATTTCTATAAACACGAGTGATGCAAAGACAGTAAACAATTTAGATTTCAAGTGTTAGAACCTCAGCAGAACACGGTATCTCCTGGTATTTAAAGAAAATAGTTCTAAAAGAAGGAAACAAAAATACTACAATGTTACATGATTGATGAATGGTAGGATATCATATCCTAAACCGTAATGAAAATAAACATTTAACACGGGTATGATCTTTAGATCTGGCTTTCAACAGTGAGCTACTAAGGGCAAGTTCAGGTGTGTCTGTCACTCCGTAAGGTGGATGGGATCTTGTTTACAATCACATACACACTCTATATCAGACATTAAAACTGTCTGCGAAGCCTATTGCCTGAACTTAGTGAGATATGTTTCAGGTATTTTTAGTTTGAGACAAAATAATACTTCTTAATAAATAATTAAAATATGTTTCAAACCAAAAATAGTTTTTTGGAAATTAGATGCATGTTATTAATATGATGAAGTAGCATTGTATTGTAATGGCACTGATCGGAGAGGATTAGAAACTCTTTTCAGTGACCTTAAGTCAGAGTTACAGCCTCTCTTACCTCTGTCTGCCTCTAACCCCCTTTTTCTTTTTTCCGTCTGAGCATTCTCTGACCTTTCTCAGTGAATCACATACACTTCTCTGATTTCACCACCATGGCTCTCTGTATAGCCTAAATTCTAATCCCTGCCTTGATTTTTGTGATATCTTTGTTTATACAAAAAATTCTCCCATCCAATTACAGCCGTGGTAAGAATCCCTTCTAGTTATTTTAAGTGTGCTTACCTTCCCACTAAGGGATGGGGGCTGGTTTGGACGTAAGCTCTGTCTAAGGTTTTTGGAGCTTTGTTTGAAATACACATTTGTGGTAAAGACCGAAGCTCTGTCTCTTGTTTTGTACATGTTTTTTGTCTTTGATCCAAGGTAATGAGACTGGCATTTTAATTGGTTTACGGATCATTCAGCACAACACACGGGTTAATTGGATGGCTAGTCAAGTGTCCCAGTAAGAGCTAGCCTAGTTTATCTAAGACAGACAGAATGTTAATGTCTCTAACCTCTCTAAAGAAAGTCAGGTTCTCTGGTACTAGTGACTATGACTCCCTCCAAGCAGAATTTCTCAGGGTTGCAATTTTAGAGTCTATTTTTAATTGCCTTATTCACGTCCGTAGGTATCTGTAGCCTGGTTTGTCCCAAAGTCAGAGCTGGTGACTTTTTTTGCTCACCACTGTCTTACCAGAGTCCAGCAGGCCATCGATCTGGAGTAAATGAATTAACGAATTGAGGTTTAGAAACAACTAGGTTTAAGCTCAGTTCAACCACTTTGTAGCTGCATGATCCTAGCCGGGTCCTGTGACTACCTGTGTCTGTGTCTCACTTTGCAAAAGTATTATGTGGAGCAATAAAAAGGGCATGACTGAAAGCAATAGCCAGATGTTAGTCATCACTTTAATGACAGTGTAATAATGAACCATGTACAGGCTGTCAGGGAAGTAGTCACATGCAGTTCAGTTAGTTTGGCTTTATCTGTATATTACGTATCTTCTTTTGTGACACTGAATTTTAAGCAGAAGCAGCACTGAACACATACCATGCATATAAGTCCCGAGTTGACCACCAGAAGGTTAGAAGGAAAGGTCAAGTCTGTGGCAATGCAACCATACTTACTTCTTTACAACTGGATGATAAGACACTGTTTTAAAGAAAGATAACACACTGGTACTACTAGTGTACCTGGTACAGACAAAGTTTCATCTCTCAGATGGAATATTTCCCGAGACTACATACTGTAAATCTACAATTAATGATATCCAATTATTGTGGACAGACCATGGGCATGTTGTGGCAGGTGCTTGTTAGAAATGGTCAAGGTAGCCGGCTCTGCCTGGAAGCAGAATTCCAAAACTGAGATCCTGGAGAGACAGTGTTTGGTGCAGGAAAATAAGGTCTATGAAAGTTGAAGGTAATAAAAATCTTTCCAGACTGGGCCTTTCCCCAGAACTTCAGAGTTTACCAGTTTGCTAAATATGTGTGGAAAGTTCAGGGATAAGAAACAAAGGACTAACTGGGACAAATAGAGAACAGAGATGAAATGAGAATGTTTCCTGAAACAACAAATGGGAGTAGAATATAACAAATACAATCAAAAATGGCTGGGACTGAATTATGTCCCTTCAAAATGTGTATGTTGGAGTCCGATCCACAATATTGAGTACATGACTGTATTTGTAGATGGGCCCCTTTAGTGTGGTAATTAAGATAAAATGAGGTCCTAAGAGTGGAGCCCTGATCTGCTTGGTGTGTTTAGAAGAAAGAAAAAGTGAGTGGTCTATTTTTCTCTCTCCACCCATGCACAGAGAAGAACCCATGTGAGCAAGAAGACACCAAAAGAACAGCTGTGCTGGCCCCTTGATCTTGGACTTCTATCCTGAAGAACTGGGGAAAAAGTTTCTATCGTTGGAGTTGGTGAGTCTGTAATAGTTTGTTATGGCAGCCTGTGCTGTTACATGCACTGCTTTTTATCCACGGTTCCTAGTCCATAACTCCCATAGCCCTTGTTAGTGTTTCATTGGGTCCTTTTAGCTTCAGGAGCAGGTCTCAGGAAACAGAATCTCTCTGCCCTTTTCCTGCCATCTTTAACCGGTGCCAAGGCAGGACTTTAATCTTCCCCTGCCTTTCTGATTATGGGTCATAAGACCCTCCCAGAAGGGTCCTGCTCTTTACCCAGGTAGAAGGAATGTTGACATCCTGAAGCTTCCATAAAAACTCAAGAGGAGTGGGTTCAAGGAGCTTCCTGATAGCTGAACACGTACGTGGAGGTTCCAGGAGGGTGGTACATCCAGGAAGGGCATGGAAGCTCCAGGTCCCTGCCCCATACCTCACCCTATTCATCTCTTTGTCTGTAACCTTTGCAGCATCCCTTATAATAGACCATCAAATGTAAGTGAGTGATCCCCTGAGTTCTGGGAGCCCCTCCAGAAAATCGAACCCAAAAAGGGGATCATGGGAACCCCAACTTGAAACCAGTTGGTCAGAAGTTCCAGAGGCTCAGACTTGTCACTGGTGTGAGCATGGCAAGAGGGCAGTCTTGGGGAGTGAGCTCTTAGCCTGTGGGATGTGGCGCTCTCTCTAGGTAGATGATGTTGGAATTGAATTGGGGGATAACCAGCTGGTGTCATGCTGCTTGTTGGTGGAGAGAAACTCCTACATTTTCGGTCATAGAAGTCTTCTGTGTCCATTGTTGTGGTGTGAGAACAGAGAAGAAACAGAGTTTGAGAGTTTTTCCTGAAACACAGCCTTGGCTGACTAATATAGGAAAGTAAAATCTAATTTTTCCAAGTTTAAAGAAGAAAAACTCAGGAATATGGATACCTAAGTACCAACAGTCTCTGACTTATAATTCAGTTCAGAAGATTTCAGCTTTACAATGGTGAGGAAGCAATACACATTTAGTAGAAAACATACTCCAATTTTTGAATTCTGTTTTTTTTCCCAGGCTAGTGATATGCCATAGATATTTTCTCCAGACACTGGGCAGTGGCAGCAAGCAGCAGCTCCCGGTCAGCCACAGGATCATGAGGGTAAACACCCTCACCTACCACGCACCGTGTTGCCGTATGACATGACTCTACCCAACCGTAAGCTGAAGTAAGCATCTGAGTACATTTAAAGTGAACTAAGCTAAGCTATGATGTTCAGTAGGTTGGATGTTTAATAACCCATTTTTGACTTAGGGTATTTTCAATTTATGATGGGTTTATTGGCAAGTAATTCCATCATAATTCAAGGAGCATCTGTTGCCAGATGAAGGTAGTTATATTAGGTAATGTATTTCAAATCATTTTAACAGTGAAAAGAAATACAGTATTAGAGTACATGAGATTTTAAAAAATGCTGAGCAAGACAGTTTCCACTGTTTTCCTGTGCTTTTCCTTGGTCTTACCTACAGCTCAACTTTTGCACAAAGGCCTTAATATAAATCCCCAAATGCCCTGAATTCATAGCCCCCAGATCCCAGTTCTAATTTAGGCTGACACAATCTGAAAGATCATGTACCTTTCCAGGTCTCAGTTTCCTCCTTCTGAGAGTAGTTGGGTTAGACTAACATGACCGATGTGTGAATGAATTCTGTGCCAACTACAACAGCAGAATTCCATGGTGAAATGTATTTACAAATATGGCACCACTTCTTAGAGCATTTTCATTGCTAAACCTATAAGAAGAGGGCCCAGTATTTCTCAAGCATGCTTTTACTATGCAGCGCTGAAAAGAGACTGCTACCCACTGTCATTCACTTGAGATCGCAAATGTTAAGATCCTTTGACCATGACATACGAGTGTCACATGAAGAGCTCTCCTCATGGTCCTTTGGCTATTCATCCACTGAATAAGAGGGCTAACAAAGAATCTTTGAGGAGGTTTACGGCACAGAAACTATATTTTAAGGAAACACAGTTATGCTATGGATCCTAAGGAAAGTGTATTTTAAGAAATGTTGGAGGATTTAACATGGAATCGCCTAACTCCATGCAATACTTTTCCATTCTCAGTAAAATTTTCTATTAGCCACTAGAACAACCCTGTTTCAATTAATTGGTTTCACTCTTCTTTTATAAACATATGTGTGTCTCAGTCTCATTGGCCTGCTTTAACAAAACACTATGAACTAGACGGCTTAGAAGTAACAGAAATTTATTTCTCACAGTTGTGGAGGCTGGGAAGTTCAAACTCAAGGTGCCATCATATTTGGTGTCTGATGAGGGCCTGATGCTCTCTAATTCATAGATTATCCTTCCTAGCTGTGTACTCACATGGTGGAAAAAGGAAAGAGCTCTCTGGAGTCCCTTTTAAAAGGGCACTAATTTCTACTCATGAGGGGTTCACCCTTATAACCTAACCACCTCCTAAAGTCCTCACCTCCTAATACCATCACTTTAGGGGTTAGGTATCAATTTTAGGGAGATACAAACATTCAGATTATAACACTGTGCTTTTTCTTTGAGAGTTTTGTGTTTGTTTCTAGCAAGAGATAATATATGCATGCGAACAGTGAAATATAAGGAAATGCAGGCAATGATGGGCAAGTCGTTATATATCAGACAATTGTGGCATAGCCACAGTACCCAAGCATCATGAGCAATGTTCTGTGGAGGGAATAATTCCTCATTCTCATCATGGAAGTACAGCACGTCACAGTTCCTTGCTTACGAATGGTGCCATGTGGCGTAATATAGCTTCCTTTCTTTAATCTGCCTTACATGGTGCATAATTTACCAGTTTTTTTATACTTCCTTTTCTTAACCTTTAGTAGAAACTGCCTCAGATGAACTCATTGACCGTCAATCATAAATGAGCCCTTTATTGGTGAAGAGGTGAGATGGGTTAACAGTGGATTTACTTGTAAATTGAGGAGAGATGAATCTTTGTTCCCTTAAGGGTAGCAGTGTATTTATAGGTTGGGAGGCAGTATTACATTTGAAAAAGCACTTTATGGGAAGGCAAAGTCTTCAAGACCTTGGTGTTTATGATCTCTGAAGCTCGTGTATCTGCAGAACTGTTGTAAAATGCACTAATAAAATAAAATAGGATGTTGCTTTATATTTGCCTGTGTTACCACATGAAGTACTTACAGAGGTAGAATAGAGGTTCTCTAAAGTAAACTCATAACTAAAATTGAATTCTTTGAGGAAATCTGCCACTTTTATTTACAGATATATAAGCCTAGCAGATAAAAATAACTAAGAGAATATGTTGCAAAGATATTTTATATCACCCTACAATCAAGGTTCTTGAATGATCTGTAAGCATTTCCATCCCATAAACCTGTCTGGAAATCATTGTTGACTTGAGTATGTGGAATTAATCTCCTCATCAGCAATAACCTAAACCTACTTACAGAATAAGGTAAACCTGAGACTGACACACCAAAATATTGTTGACGGCAAAACAACAGAATAATTACTTTAGAAATTTGCTACATTTAGAAAACAATTAAATTTGGCATATAAAATTGTGAGAGAGATCTCAGAGCAATATTAAAATCAGAATGAGTTTTTTTTTTAAACAAGGAAAGTTTCTTCTAACAAGAGTCAAACAGTTTAAACATTTTGAAAGAAATGACTGAATCAGTTTTTGGATATTCTATTTCATTCCATCTAAGTCAGCTTTTTGGATAATCTATGCTATTTTTATTCCATCAGAAAGCATTCAAACAAACAAAAACAACTGTGGAAGGCTATCAAGAATTTGAAATTAGACAACATATATATGATATATTCTACAGAAATATGCTGTACTGTGTAATTTATTCACATACTACTGAGATGAGGTGTTACATTAGGTGGGAGATGACAGCATGATCCAACTCTGTGGAATGCTGAATCCACACCCCAAACTTAAATCCTCCTGAGCTGATCCGTTCTATACTCTTCATAAGCTTGCCCCACCCACAGTCTTTCCACCTCACTTGATGGCAGTTCCATCTTTCCAGTTGCTCAGGCCGATAATCTTGAAGTTATTCTTAGCTTCACTTTTTCCCTCACATGATATATCCAATGTGTCAGCAAATTCTGTTTACCTGTGGAATAGAACCACAATGTGCCACCACCTTGACTCTTCCCTTAACCATAATACAATAGCTTTTTCTTAGGCTGCTTCCCTTCCTCTTCCAACCCCCACCAAAAGCTAGAAAAATTCTTTCCACACAGTAGCGACAGTGTTCTTTTTATTAAATTATACTTTAAGTTCTGAGGTACATGTGCAGATCATGCGGGATTGTTACATAGGTATACACATGCCATGGTGGTTTGCTGCATCCATCACCCCATCATCTACATTAGTTATGTCTCTTGTTATCCCTCCCCAATCCTCCCATACCCTGATATTCCTCCCCTAGCTCTCCCACCCCCAACTGACCCCAGTGTGTGATGTTCCCCTCCCTGTGTCCATGTGTTCTCATTGTTCAACACCCATTTATGCATGAGAACTTACGGTGTTTGGTTTTCTGTTCTTATGTCAGTTTGCTAAGCATGATGGTTTCTAGCTTCATCCATGTCCCTGCAAAGGACATGAACTCATCCTTTTCTATGGCTGCATAGTATTTCATGGTGTATATGTGCCACATATTCTTTATCCAGTCTATTCTTCATGGGCATTTGGGTTGGTTCCAAGTCTTTGCTATTGTGAACAGTGCCACAATGAGCATATGTGTGCATGTGTCTTTATAATAGAACAGTTTATATAATCCTTTGGGTATATACCCAGTAATGGGATTGCTGGGTCAAATAGTATTTCTATTTCTAGATCCTTGAAGAATCACCACACTGTCTTCCAAAGTGGTTGAACTAATTTACACTCCCACCAACCGTGTAAAAGTGTTCCTATTTATCCACACCCTCTCCAGCATCTGTTGTCTCCAGATTTTTTTCAATGATCGCCGTTCTAACTGGCGTGAGATGGTGTCTCAGTGTGGTTCTGATTTGCGTCTCTCTAATGTCCTGTCATGACGAGCATTTTTTTCATGCTTGTTGGCTGTATAAATGTCTTCTTTTGAGAAGTGTCTGTTCATATCTTGCCCACTTTTTGATGGGGTTGTTTTTTTCTTGTAAATTTAAGTTATTCATAGGTTCTGGATATTAGCCCTTTGTCAGATGGGTAGATTGCAAAATTCTTTCCCCATTCTGTTTGTTGCTGGTTCACTAATGATGGTTTCTTTTACTCTGCAGGAGCTGTGAAGTTTAATTAGGTCCCATTTGTCTATTTTGGCTTTTGTTGCCATTGCTTTTGGTGTTTTAGTCCTGAAGTCCTTGCCTATGCCTGTGTCCTGAATGGTATTGGCTAGGTTTTCTCCTAGGGTTTTTATGGGGTTGAATCTTATGTTTAAGTATTTAATCCATCTGGAGTTAATTTTTGTGTAAGGTGTAAGGAAGTGGTTCTGTTTCAGCTTTCTGCATATGGCTAGCCAGTTTTTCCAACATCATTTATTAAGCAGGGAATCCTTTTCCTATTGCTTTTGTTAGGTTTGTCAAAGATCAAGTGGTTGTAGATGTGTGGCATTAGTTCCGAGGCCTCTGTTCTGTTCCATTGGTTTACATCTCTGTTTTGGTACCATTACCATGGTGTTTTGATTACTGTAGCCCTTTAGGATAGTTTGAAGTCAGGTAGTGTGATACCTCCAGCTTTGTTCTTTAAATTGCTTATGATTGCCTTGGCTATGCAGGCTCTTTTTTTGGTTCCATATGAAGGTTAAGGTGTTTTTTTTTTTCAAATTCTGTGAAGAAGGTCAATGGTAGCTTGATGGGAATAGCATTGAATCTACAAATTACTTTGGGCAGTATGGCCATTTTCACAATGTTGATTCTTCCTAACCATGAGCATAGAATGTTTCTTCATCTATTTGTGTCCCCTCTTATTTCCTTGAGCAGTGGTTTTAATGATCCTTGAAGAGGTCCTTCACATCCTTTGTAAGTTGTATTCTTAGTATTTTATTCTTTCCGTAGCAAATGTGAATGGGAGTTTGCTCATGATTTGGCTGTTTGTTACTGGTGTGTAGGAATGCTGTGATTTTTGCATTGATTTTGTATCCTGAGACTTTGCTGAAGTTGTTTTTTAACTTCAGGAGATTTTGAGCTGAGATGATGGGGTCTTCTAAATAGACAATCACGTCATCTTCAAATAGAGACAATTTGATTTCCTCTTTTCCTAAATGAATACCCTTTATTTCTTTTTCTTGCCTGATTGATGTGGCCAGAACTTCCAATACTATATTGAATAGGAGTGGTGAGAGAGGGCATCCTTGTCTTGTGCCTGATTTCAAAGGGAATGTTTCCAGTTTTTGCCCATTCAGTATGATATTGGCTGTGTTTGTCATAAATAGCTTTTATTATTTTTAGATAAGTTCCATCAATACCTAAGTTTATTGAGAACTTTTAGCATAGAGGACTGTTGAATTTGTAGAAGGCCTTCTCTGCATCTATTGAGATAATTATGTGGTTTTTATCTTTGGTTCTGTTTATATGATGGATTACATTAATAGATTTGCATGTGTTAAACCAGCCTTGTGTCCTAGGGATGAAGCCGACTCGATCGTGATGGATAAGATTTTGATGTGCTGTTGGATCCAGTTTACCAGTATTTTATTGAAGATTTTACCATCGATATCATGGGTATTGACCTGAAGTTTTCTTTTTTAGTTGTGTCTGCCAGGTTTGGTATCAGGATGATGTTGGTCTCATAAAATGAATTAGGGAGGATTCCCTCTTTTTCTATTGTTTGGAAGTTTCAGAAGAAATGGTACCAGCTCCTCTTTGTACATCTGGTACAGTTCAGATGTGAACCCATCTGGTCCTGGACTTTTTTTTTTGGTAGTAGGCTATTAAGCCTCAATTTCAGACCTTATTGGTCTAATCAGGGATTTAACTTATTCCCGGTTTAGTCTTGGTAGGGTTTAAGTGTCCAGGAATTTATCCATTTCTTCCAGATTTACTTGTTGATGGGCATAAAGGTGTTTGCAGTAATCGCTGATGATAGTTTGTATTCAAAAGCTAGCAGAAGACAAGAAATAACTAAGATCGTGCTGGGCACAGTGGCTCACGCCTGTAATCCCAGCACTTTGGGAGGCCAAGGTGGGCAGATCACAAGGTCAGGCGATGGAGACCATCCTGGCCAACATGGTGAAACCCCATCTCTAAAAATTAAAAAAAAAAAAAAAAGAAAAGAAATAACTAAGATCAAAGCAGAATTGAAGGAGATAGAGACACCAAAAATCCTTCAAAAAATCAATGAAGTCAGGAGCTGGTTTTTTGAAAAGATCAACAAAATAGACCACTAGCCAGACTAATAAAAAGGAAAAGGGAGAATTGAATACATGCAATAAAAAATGATAAAGGGGATATCACCACCGATTCCACAGAAATACAGACTACCATCCGAGATTGCTACAAACACCTCTATGCACATGATCCAGTAAATCTAGAAGTGATCTCTTATAAAGCCTACGTCAGATCATGTCTCGCCTCTGCTTAAATTCCTCTAGTGACCCCCCACCTCACTTAGAAGTGGAAGCCGATGAACTTTCCCTCTCCGATGCCATCACCTCTCCCAGGTCTCTCCAGTCTACTGTGTTGTTCTTACTCTGTGTCATGTGCTCTCTGGCCTCAGGGCTTCTTCACTATCTGCTCCTTTTCCCTCAGATATCCCACGGTTAAATCCTTCATTCTTTGCTCAAGAGTTACCTTCTTCATATAGTTGATGCCGAGTGTCTTTAAATACAGTACAATTCCTAATCCTTATGCTTGGTCTCCCTTTCAGTGCTCTCCTTTTAAAATCTTTTTATCTATCTTTTCAAGTACTTATCAGCTTGGAACATACTTCTTTGCTTATTGTATTTACTGATCATTATCTTTTTCTTCTCTCTGGAAGGTAAACCTTCTGAAGGCACAGATTTTTTTTTAATTTTACTTATCTAAGTGTTTAAAACTGTACCATATACATAGTAGGTATTCAATGAATTCTTATTAAATGAGTAAGAAAGTATATAAATCTTAGAAGTGTGCTCAGAAAGCAACTGATGTTTTTGACAATTATCTCACTGTAACCTGGCTCAGAACAAAGAAATATCATATACTATAGATAGGATTAGAAACTCGGATTTTTGAAGATGTTTTCCAATACAGTTTCTCAGTAGAGTGCCTAAAAATATGAAGATGGCCAGGCATGAAGGCTCATGCCTGTAATCTCAGTGCTTTGGGAGGCTGAGGCAGACAGATCACAAGGTCAGGGGTTTGAGACAAGCCTGGCCAATATGATGAACCCCATCTCTACTCAAAATACCAAAATTAGCTGGGCGTGGTGGCAGGCACCTGTAATCCCAGCTACTCAGAAGGCTGAGGCAGGAGAATCACTTGAACCCGGGAGGCAGAGGTTAGTGAGCTGAGATTGTGCCATTGCACTCCAGCCTGGGTGATAGAGTGGGACTCCATCTCAAAAAAGAAGACAAAACATTGATTTTGTCTGATAAAACAGTGAGACCAATGAGGTGAACAAAGGTGTACACAGGTCCCTGTAGCTGGAGCAGTACAACCGGAAGAGACTCCTGATCTTCTGACTCCGAGTTCTTTATGTTTGTACTGGAGAGACAGTAACCACAAGATGGTTGTTTTCACCTTTACTTTTGCCTTTTTTTTTGGCACAGGTCTGATATTGAGGTTGTTTTCCAATGAACACATTCTTCTATGATCATCTTTCTATGACAGATGCCAGGCGAGGTGCCAGAGCCTCAGCATTGAGAAGTGGTCAACTTAAAAGTCGGTAAGAAGAATTTATTGACAACATAGGTTTGAAACAAGAATTTATTAAAAAGGAATGCTGTCAAAGTACAGCAGGGAGCCTCAATGAGAGAGGACTGAGCTCGCGGAGGTGGGTTTTTTCTTAGTGGTATTTATGGACCTTAAAAATGGGAGCTGAGGGGTAATTTGCATATTTAATTATTACATTTGTAGACATAACAGCAAGTATTGCAAAATGAGTTTTGGCATGGCATTCCAAAGATGTATAAAAATTCTAGTAACTTATAAAAGTTGAAAGAGGCCAGGAACCAGGTACTGACTTTAGATACTAGGAAAGTTTAATTACTTCTCTCTCTCTCTCACATGGAGTTTCACTTGTTACCCGGGATGGAGTGCAGTGGCTCCATCTTGGCTCACCACAACCTCCACCTCCTGGGGTCAATCAATTCTCCTGTCTCAGCCTCCTGAGAAGTTGGAATTACAGGCATGCACCGCCACTATACCCAACTGATTTTTTGTCTTTTTAATAGAGATGGGGTTTCACCATGTTGGTCAGGTTGGTCTTGAACTCCTGACCTCAGAGTGTAACCAGATTACCTGCAAGCAGATTTAATGGAACTCAGGTTCTTGGCCTCTCCAACCCGTGAGTGGGGAAGGGGGCCATGGTAAGTGTCATAGCTTAAGCAGAACTCATGGACCCAAAGAGTGCGTGGTATTGTGATTAGGCAGAGTGAAAGGACAGCTTCCGTGCTGCGTAAGGGGACCTGGAGTGGGTGCCGCTGCAGACCTGGGCAGCTGGAGCTTATGCCCCTGAGTTATTCCCTCCCCATTCTTGCTGTCATCCAATGAGAGGAGTTTTTTTCAAACTTTCTCTGGACTGTATTTTAAAACCCTAAGTCACTGAGCCTCTACCTTCAGGGGCTGGAAGCAGGAAACCTGGAAACAAAGCCCTAGCTGGCCAGAGGCGGGAAAAGTTCCTGTGCTTCAAAGAAAGCCCCTGGCCGGCCAGAGGCAGGACATGTTCCTGCACTCAAAATAAAAGAGGCCCTACGCAACCCCGGAAGTTCCTCAGTCCCCACTCTGAACAGGAAAGTCCAACTGCTGTTGGCACGTGGGCGACAACTGCTCTACCTACTTCCTGCTTATCTGGGGCACAGAAGGGGGCCCTGCAGTTGAGGTTTCCTCCAGAGGGGAGTATTCTGGGGTTGCAGGTTGATCCTGTGGTCCGTGAAGGAAATTATGAGCCACGGACATTCGGGGTTCCATTTGGACCATTTGTATCTTCGTGGCCTCAATTCTGGGAGAAACAAATTTGGCCAGAAAGTTAAAGATGAGAGGCTCAAAGGCAAGGAATAATAGGATGTTTATTAAAAAGACTCTCCCCTAGAAGAGGGGAGAGTCAGGTTGGTGTTTGTTAAGCAAGCTTCATGATCCTCTGTCTTGGAGATTCTTAACCCTGTGTTCTATTCGGTCCCTGAGTTCTTTAAGACGATATCTGATTGGTTTACAAACTAACAGCATTCTTCTCTTAAAAAGAGACAAGTTCCTCCTCTCTCTGCCATTAGCAGATCCAGGGCCCTTCGAGTTTGAAGAATGGCAACTACACTGCTTTTGTAGAGTTACGAGAGAATTGGCAACCTTTTCCATGTGATTAATTCCTGGGACAGCTTAGAGTGAAACTGAGTAGAGGCAGTAATTCCTCCAATACCAGTACTAAGCTACTGGTATTATTATTCCTGCTACCATGCTGAATGGAAGAACTGGGGTTCTAGTATGCCTTGGCCTGGACAAGAAAAGACTCTGCAATTGAGAATCGGTGTAAATGGTCATGGGGGGGCAACAGGAAGGAGAGGAGGCATTTTTCCTCCATGTATTGTTTAGACAGCAGTAGGCTGAGAAGCCACAAAGAATAAGCCTGGTGCTAGGCAGTTGAGGCCTGGGGGTAAGGTAACCCAGTTTTGGCATAGAGAAGCATTGCCGTTGTTAGTGAAGTTTGAGGTAGATGGAATTTGTAGATTGGTGACCAAGGGACATATAAGCCCTGTATGATTTAAGGGTGGGTTAGTTATGTTCTGTAAGGATGGAACTGGAACCAGGATATATGGTTGGAAGCTTAGTGGAAGGCGCATTCAGCAGTCACTTGGGTTGTCGGAGGCCTCATCCGTTTCTGTGAGAGTGGTGTTAAGTAGGGTGAGCATACAGGAGTGTGTGCACAGGATCTCGTGTAGCTTAGAAAGGTCCAGGCCTTTGTAGGTACTGGGGCTACTTTGTGGTTTGCCTAGCTAGAGATTATCGCCTTGAGATGCCCTTCCTGTGTCTGATCTTGAACTTTGCCCCCATCTGAAGTCCTGACATGGGTAAAATATGTCCAGCAGGTGGTGGTTCCCTTAGCAGCTGGACAGTTAGGCCCGGTTATAGTTTCTGTTCAATATATGCACAGGACAGAGAAGCAGATGTACAGCAATGTTTGTGCATGTAAGTGCAGGGTATAAAGAAGGCCACTAGACCTAATCCCCAAGACAAGAGAGTGGACTTGTTTCCTGTTCAATATTCTTCCCGTTTTAACCCCTTTGGGCGCATTTTCAGATGGGATGGGAGTGAAGTAGGGGACAGGCAGCAACGAGGATAAGGAGGACCACAGGAGAGGTCAGAGTAAGAGTGATACAATCAGAGGGAGAAGAGGCAAGCTGTTAGACACATAATTAGGCAGAAAGCCACGGATATGGAGAGTCTACGGAATGTGGGCCAAGCCTCAAGGGTGACCACACAGAGTCCAGTTGCAAACAGTAAAGGTAAGAGTGATATTCCAGTCAATGCCAGAATGTAAGGTAGACTCATGAGTAGTTCATTTCCTGAGGGTCTTGTCAGAAGAGCAACCGCAGATCCTTTAATGGCTCACAGGTATATGAAGGGCAGCCTCCGGGATCCTCAGGCTGTGGAGCGGAGGTCCTATGATCTTCTCCAGGAGGCATCAGGGTGTCACCCGAGTGTGATGGATCCATGAGTCAGTTCCCACCATCTTAAGTGATATAGGGCTGAGAGAATGACCAAAAATGGCCCTTTCAAGATGAACCTAGAGAGAGAGAGAGAGAGAGAGAGAGTCAGAGGGGAGAGACTTGACAAGTACGAAATCTCCAGGACAAAATAACAATTTCCCTTTTTCCCGGGGTATCCTTCAGGTAATGCCTTAAGTGCCTGTTCATACTTAGCCAAGGAGGTCACACCTTTTATTAGATCTGCTGTTTGTCTAATACAAGATCATTGGTAAGAAAGGGTCGTCCATAAAGCATTTTATAGGGACTGTGTTTTGAGCCCTTAAGAGTGCTGTCTTTTTTTATTATTGTCTTTTAGGTTTGAGGGTACATGTGAAGAACATGTAAGACTGTTGCATAGGTACATACATGGCAGTGTGGTCTGCTGCCTCTCTCCCCTATCTCCCCGCTGCCACAGACCCCAGTGTGTGATGCTCCGTTCCCTGTGTCCATGTGTTCTCATTGTTAACACTCGCCTATGAGTGAGAACATACAGTGTTTAACTTTGTGTTTTTGTGTCAGTTTGCTGAGAATGATGGTTTCCAGTTTCATCCATGTCCCTACAAAGGACACTAACTCATCATTTCTTATGGCTGCATAGTATTCCATAGTGTGCATGTGCCACATTTTCCCTGTCCAGTCTATCATCGATGGGCATTTGCGTTGGTTCCAAGTCTTTGCTATTGTAAACAGTGCTGCAATGAACATTCGTGTGCATGTGTCCTTATAATAGAATGATTTATAATCCTTTGGACATATACCCAGTACTGGGATTGCTGGGTCAAATGGAATTTCTATTTCTAGGTCCTTGAGGAATCGCCACACTGTCTTCCACAATGCAACTAATTTACCCTCCCACCAACAGTGTAAAAGTGTTCCTATTTCTCCTCATCCTCTACAGCATCTGTTATGTCCAGATTTTTTAATGATTGCCATTCTAACTGGCGAGAGATGGTATCTCAATGTAGTTTTGATTTGCATTTCTCTAATGACCAGTGATGATGAGCATTTTTTGATATGTTTCTTGGCCTCATATATGTCTTCTTTTGTAAAATATCTGTTCATATCCCTCCACTTTTGAATGGGCTTGTTTTTTCTCTTGTAAATCTGTTTTAGTTCTTTGTAGATTCTGGATATTAGCCCTTTCATAGTTGGGTAGATTGCAAAAATTTTTCCCCATTCTATTGGTTGCCAATTCACTCTGTTTCTTTTGCCGTGCAGAAGCTGTGGAGTTTGATTAGGTCCCATTTGTCTATTTTGGCTTTTGTTGCCAATGCTTTAGGTGTTTTGGTCATGAAGTCCTTGCCTATGCCTATGTCCTGAATGGTTTTGCCTAGAATTTTTTCTAGGGTTTTTATGGTGTTAGGTCTTATGGTTAAGTCTTTAATCCATCTGGAGTTAATTTTAGTGTAAGGTGTCAGGAAGGTGTCCAGTTTCTGCTTTCTGCACATGGCTAGCCAGTTTTCCCAACACCATTTATTAAACAGGGAATCCTTTCCACATAGCTTGTTTTTGTCAAAGATCAGATGGCTATAGATGGTGTGGTGTTGCCTCCGAGGCCTCTGTTCTGTTTTATTGGTTTATATATGTCTGTTTTGGTACCATGGTGTTTTGATTACTGTAGCCTTGTAGTAAAGTTTGAAGTCAGGTAGCATGATGCCCCCAGCTTTGCTCTTTTTGATTAGGGTTGTGTTGGCTATGTGGGCTCTCTTTTGGTTCCATATGAAGTTTAAAGTGATTTTTCCAGATCTGTGAAGAAGGTCAATGGTAGCTTGATGGGGACAGCATTGAATCTATAAGTTACTTTGGGCAGTATGGCCATTTTCAGAATACTGATTCTTCCTAACCATGAGCCCGGAATGATTTTCCATCTGTTTGTGTCCTCTCTTATTTCCTTGATCACTGGTTTGTAGTTCTCCTTGAAGAGATGTTTTACGTCCTTTGCTAGTTCTGTTCCTAAGTATTTTATTCTCTTTATAGCAATTGTGAATGGGAGTTCACTCATGATTTGGCTCTCTGTTAGTCTGTTATTGGTGTATAGGAGTGCTTGTCATTTTTGCACATTGATTTTGTATCCTGAGACTTTGCTGAAGTTGCTTATCAGTTTCAGGAGATTTTGGGCTGAGACGATGGGGTCTTCTAAATATACAATCATGTTGTCTGCAAATTGAAACAGTTTGACTTCCTCCTTTCCTATTTGAATGCCCTTTCTTTCTTTTTCTTGCCTGATTGCTCTGACACTTCCAATACTATGTTGAATAGGAGTGGTGAGAAAGGGCATCCTTGTCTAGAGATAGATCTCAAAGGGAATGCTTCCAGTTTTTGCCCATTCAGTATGATATTGGCTGTGGGTTTGTCATAAATAGCTTTTATTATTTTGAGATAATAAACTAGGTATTGATGGAACTTGAGAGTTTTTAGCATAGAGGGCTGCTGAATTTTGTTGAAGGCCTTCTCTGCATCTACTGAGATAATCATGTGGTTTTTGTCTTTGGTTCTGTTTATGTGATGGATTACATTAATAGATTTGCATGTGTTGAACCAGCCTTGCATCCCAGTGATGAAGCCAACTTGATCATGATGGATAAGCTTTTGATGTGCTGTTGGATTCAGTTTGCCAGCATGTTATTGAAGATTTTAGCGTTGGCCTCAGGTTTTCTTTTTTGGTTATGTCTCTGCCAGGTTTGGTATCAGGATGATGTTGGTCTCATAAATGAGGTAGGGAGGATTCCCTCTTTTTCTGTTGTTTGGAAGAGTTTCAGAAGGAATGGCACCAGTTCCTCTTTGTACATCTGGTAGAATTCAGCTATGAACCCATCTGGACCTGGACTTTTTTTGGGTGGTAGGCTATTAACTGCTGCCTCAATTTCAACCCTTGTTATTGGTCTATTCAGGGATTCAACTTCTTCCTGGTGTAGCCTTGGTGGGTGTAAATGTCCAGGAATTTATCCATTTCTTCTAGACTTTGTTTTGTTTGTGTAGAGATGTTGATAGTAATCTCTGATGGTAGTCTGTATTTATGTGGAATCGGTGGTGATATCCTCTTTATTGTTTTTTATTGCATCTATTTGATTCTTCTCTCTTTTCTTTTTATTAGTCTGGCTAGCAATCTGTTTTGTTGATCTTTTCAAAAAACCAGCTCCTGGATTTAATGAATAATTTTTTGAAGGGGTTTTTTTTGTCTCTATCTCCTTCAGCTCTTCTCTGATCTTAGTTATTTCTTGTCTTCTGCTAGGTTTTGAGTTTTTTTTGATCTTCCTCCTCTAGCAATTTCAATTTTGACAATAGGGTGTCAATTTTAGATC